CTGCATTCAGGGGAAACACCAATACGTGTTCTTACTTCTTTCAGTAAACCACGTCCTAAATGTTCTTGATTATATAAGAGGTTGGACAGGAAGCACTCAAGAAATAGTTGACTGGCTACAAGTTATTGAGGAATGCAGAATGCAAAAAGTTAGAGGTTCTGAAAAAGAAATCATAAATATTCCAACTTCGCCAAAGTATAACAAAAGCTTTCCATTGGTTTCTAGCACTATGGTAACTAAGGAAAAGTTACAAGTAATACATTTAACAAGGACATGTTTTTTAATATCCTTATAATGGGTTTCCATTGGTAGGCCTTGAATTTCTGAAACTGATTTACTATGTAGCAAAAGGCCTTATTCATGAAAGTATCTATTATGATTAAGATGAATTAGCCTGTAGAAACTTGCATTCCTATCTTTACAATTTTTTTGTGTGACTAAAAGCATAGTACTTTATTCATGAAGAACAAAAAGGACCCCCTCATGCAGGACCTAACCTTGCCATGCAAATTAAGGTGTCTTTTACAAATTATTTTTCCATTGAAGGTTTTTGCAAATTAGCAACAGTTTATTTTATAAATATAGCAATAGTCAATGGAATCCTGATATCTCTTTGTAGATATCAGCTTTAGGAATGTTAAATATTGATGTAGAGTAAGGGCATTCACAAGAAAACTCATAGTAGACTCTTTCCTTTTAAAGAGACTTTGAATTTCTTATTTAAAACAAAAAAATCCAAGTAGGAACCCATTGAGTTACAGTTATCATAACAATCTCAAATTATAACTCCAAAGTAATCTATAAAACTTGCTTTAAATACTGGTTCCTGGAAGACAGGTAGAAATATCTATCCTATCTAATAATAGACAAACATGGTAATTAACTGTAACTTTGCTACCCTTCCATTGGCTAATCAGCGAGATATGCAAATTAACTGCCAACCAAGATGGCAGCCAGCAGACAGGCATCTGAAGCGAACAGGAGGCTTGCTTGCTCCAGTGATGGAGGAAGCCAAGGTTCCCTGCCTGCCGCTGCCGGCCTCTGAGCTGCAGTCTAAGAAACAATGTTGCAATTATAGAAGCTAAACAAGCTCCAGAAACCTGCTTTTAGCCAGCTTCGGCCTCAGAGCTTAGAGCGCAGTCAGTGATGGCAACAGTATTTCAACTAGCCGCAGCCTTAGAGCTGGAGCCGGCTGGGCCCCCCAGCCTGAAGGGTGTGTGATCAGCTGGATACAGCCATCAGCCCCTCACCCAGGCTGGCCAGGCACCCCAGTGGGGACCCCCACCCTGATCCAGGAGACCCTTCAGGGCAAACCAGCCAGCCCCCACCCATGCTCCAGGCCTTTATGCTATATAGCAAAAGGGTAATATGCAAACTGATCCTAACAGCAGAGCGACTGGGAATGACTTGTCACTATGACACACACTGACCACCAGGGGGCAGACGCTCAATGCAGGAGCTGCCCCCTGGTGGTCAGGGTGCTCTCACATGGGAGAAGCTCTGTTCAGCCACAAGCCAGGCTAATGGCTGCCAGTACAGCGGTGGTGGTGGGAGCCTCTCCTGCCTCCTCAGCAGCGCTAAGAATGTCAGATTGCAGCTTAGGCCTGCTCTCCACTGGCAAATGGATATAATCCGAGGGCTGCTGGGCTGCTAGAGGGATGTCTGATTGCCATCTTAGGCACAATCCCCTGGGGAGCGGGCCTAAGCCAGCAGGTGGATATCCTCCGAGGGGTCCCAGACTGCAAGAGGGCATAGGCTGGGCTGAGGGACCCCCCACCCCCGCCCAAGTACACAC